AGAAAGGACTTGTATCGCTGAAGTTCCTCGGGAAGAATTTTTACGGGAAATTATCAAACGAACAGAGACGTAACAATACTTAATGGCATTTTACTTAGCTCTAAGAAAGAAGAAAAAACCTTATAAATAGTATGTTGAAGAAAATGATATTTTAAAACATTCACATTATAAGCGATTGTTTTAGAATTAATATCTATAAGATCTTGACCAATTCCAATGTTTCCCATGGAATGCTCAGGATCGGAATTATTGCTAACGTCAGGAGAATTGTAAAAACAAAAGAGAAGACAACATTTAAGCTCTCAGCCATCAGTATGCTTAAGGATACGTTCCCGACTTACAACGCCAAAATACGAGGTTTGATTCCCCGCGGTGGACATAGCAGAAAGCTCAAAGTGATGTTTCTCTTAAACAAACAAAAAGCTTGAGGGTCTAATCTCAACTTCAACATTTTGTTTACCTTTAACACATTAAATAAAATCATTGACGATAGTTTAAAATTTTGCCAGTTGTTTCTCATAAGCTTTTCACGATTTCCCAGTTTCTATTTTTAAATCATATTTACCACACTTCTGTAGATCTCTAACCAATCTCTCAGTTTAAACTTCTTAAACTTAATGCATAAAATTTATCCCTGATTTTTTCCTTTGTACCTTTGGTAAGCCAATTAGGTCCTATTACTCTTTTCCCCTTTTTACGTAAATTCCTATGTTGGATTGCAAATTATGCGTTTTAAAATTGTCTCAGATCTGTTTCATATCACCTTTACTCTTGATAACTTTTACACTGAAAAAATAATTAATAATATTCTGTTCCATTGGAAGTTACACAACCTGTGAACTTGTAAATTACTTATATGGAATCATAATATGAATAAGTTTTTAATATAATTTAAATTCTGCTGCTTTTAACATTCTTTAGATATTTTATTCAACATTTTTAATCAATATGACCTTTCTGTGGCTAACATCACAAACTAAAAGACGCAAGAATGGTACATGACTAATGGCGTTAATTCGTCGTAGAACGTAGGCATGGGTGTTCGTAATCAGCAATGCACATAATACGATAGTAATTTTTTTTATGTATGTTCTAGTGAAAAGGTAGGAAACACTTCTCGCATATTAATTGAAATATTAGTGTGATATACGCGTACGATATACATATATGACTTCCTCGGTTAGAATGTGGTGGAAACCACGGTAGATTTAGAATAAGATTAAGAGTACTGTTAGTGTTACTGCGTATTACCATTATAATTTACATGGCATTAGTATTACTAGTAGTATTACTGTTTGTAGAAAGTGTTAACTAACCGTAGTAGTACTTATCTTTACATTACAATTACACACTGTCTGTGCCGCGTGCGCTTTGCGTTTACAACTTCGTAATGCCCCAACTTCTCCAGTCTGAATAGTTAATTATCTAGTTAATTAAAGAGTTTAACTTTAACTTAAAGTTTAAGTATAACTTAAGCTACTTATTCTGCTCTCAATCGAAGGTATTGCTCTGGGCTTACTTGTAAAAACTCAAATTATTTAACAACTAACAATAACATACCTAAAAAAGAACACTGTTGGACCTAAATAATAAAGATATTTCATAAAATCATATTTTAGTAAAAATCGACTGTTATTGTTATGTTGTGCATGTATATATATAACTTAAAAGCAAATGCAACTTATTCAAACATTAACAAATAACA